AGGGAGACAGGCAATGGGAGCTGGGGCAGACGGAGAGAAGAGGGAGACAGGCAATGGGAGCTGGGGCAGGAGGAGAAGAATAGGGAGACAGGCAATGGGAGCTGGGGCAGGAGGAGAGAATTGGGAGACAGACATCGGGTACTAGAGGGGGACATGCACCCTACAATTTGGCAGTATATATTAATAACTATCAACCCGTGTCTGCTGCTCCTTGCAGGTTTCTAGATCCAACCAAACAGATTCCACACTTCAAGACGACAAGGTGCAGGGCTGGATGAACACAGCAGGCCAAGCAGCATCATAGGAGCAGAGAGGCTGACGTTTCGGGCCTAGACCTCTCCACCTATCCTCTCCTCTATCCCTCTTCTATCCGCCTCCCACTCTCTCCCTATTTATTTCAAAACCCCCTTCCCCCAGCCCTTTTCTGATGAAGGGTCTAGGCCCGAAACGTCAGCCTCTCTGCTCCTATGATGCTGCTTGGCCTGCTGTGTTCATCCAGCCCTGCACCTTGTTGTCTCGGATTCTCCAGCATCTGCAGTTCCTACTATCTCTGATTCCACACTTCTTCTGCTCTGAGATGCCCTGCCCCCCACCTTATGAATGTGCTGATCACATTTCAAATTACCAGCACGAATCCACCTCCTTTTCCTTCTTGTCTGTCCTTTTTAAACATCAAAAATCCTTGAATATTCAGTTCCCTGCCCTGATCACTAGGCAAAACTGTTTCTACAATTGTAATTCTATCAGAACAGTTTACCTCTATTTGTGCCTTCAGATCACCTACTTCGTAGTTAATACTGCATACATTCAATTAAAGAGTTCATAACTTTGTCTTTTTTTAAAAATCATTCTGCATCTGAGACAATGCTTGGTTTTGTTTGTCTTATCATCTAGCCTCCCTCACAGCTTTTCTATTTCTTGTTACCAGCATAACTGTCTCCACTTTGAGTTCCCCCTCGGATTGTCAGCCCAACACATATCTTAGTTTTAGAAATTCAGAAACTCTTAAGTCTGCATTCTGCCTTGCTGTAAAAACTCTATGACTCTATTCTTGGAAGACAAACTTCTGCGGAGAAGGTGTTCTTTCACTTTATTGGATGACTGCAGTCTGTGTGCCAAAGGTGTTCCCACAATGCTGGAAGGCAAACAGTAACAGCAATATTTTTCTAAAGTAGCAACAATGATTTGCATTTTTGTTGCACTTCTCACAAAATATAATGTTGTAAAGCAATTTACAAGAGCTTTCAAACAATATTTGACACTGAGGTACCTAAAGATGTAGTGAGCCAACTGCCCAATAGTTTTTTTTTTAAATAGGTCAGTTTTAAGGAATCCTTTAAAGGAGGGAATGGGGTGAGCAAACAGTCAAGTTTTGGGAAGTAAATTCCAGAGCTTATAGCCTTGGCAGCTCAAGAGGCAGCCACCAATGGTAGAACAGTTAACATGAGGAATACTCAGGAAGTCAGGTTCAGATGAGTGCAGATACTTTGCATGGGGTTGGGGGAGATGGTGTCAGGCTGGAGCAGATCACAGATAAAGGGAGGGGCTTGAGCATGGATAGAAATTTAGAAAATTGGTGATTCTTAGATTGGAGCTTCTGTTGGTAACTGAGCATGGGGCGATGAGTGAACAAGACATGGTTTGAGAAAGGACACAGACAGCAGGGTGTTGGATCACCACAAGATATCAGACAGGTTGAATATGGGAAACCAGACAGAAGTGTGTTCAGATAGTTAACTCTCAAGGTAACAAAGGAAGGGAGAAGGGGTTCAGAAGCAGGTGACTTGAGACCAGGGTGGACTCGGGCATTGTTACTGAGGTGATCTTAGGAATGATGGGGATATGTGGTTGAAAATTGATCACGTGGTTAAACATTTTGTCATGGGCTGTAGACAGACTTGTTCAGCATTCAGACAATCACTATGGAGAGGGATAGCTCAGAAATGGATGCCATAGCGAGCACCAAACACCATGACTTCAGACTTCCCAATGTCAAAATGGAAGCAGTTTCTGCTGATCTGAGATATGGATGTTAGATAAGTCTGAGCGATATGGGAGGGATATTTGGAGCTAATGGTGTTCACTTACACTTGCTACCCTGCTGCTTCTCAGTGGTGGAGGTTGAGGGTTTAGTGAGGTTCTGTCAAACTTCCACTTGAATTGTAGGTATCTAAAATTCCTCTCCAACCTCTGAATTGCCCTCTCTCACTCTCTTTCCCCTCCTGTAGAGACCAGACACATATGGTGACAACAAGTGGCAGGTTCATTTTCAGTCCTGAAGGAAATGAGTGAACCGGTTGTTTTTGTGACAACCTGCCAGCTTTTGCTGTCACTTTATCCCAGTGCCCATCTCACAAATGATCCAATTCATTCAGCTCAGTTTCACAATCTGCCTTTGTGTTCTTGTGATTGCCCTCTCACTCTTTTTTTTTCTCCTCCAGTTTTAAATCAATTTCTTCAAGTTTTGGAAGAATGGGAATTGAATTCAGAAACCTGAGGCGAAAATCTAGCAACTGCTGCATTTACCATGAGCTGAATTGCATTGGAAGTTGAATATGGAGGAGAATAACACATCACAATGAAGAGAAACCAGACATGGCTTCAGGGTGTGGACAGGACTTCAGCCAATCATCAGCCCGGGCTAATCGCCAGCTCACTCACACTGGGGAGAGGCCATTCATCTGCTCTACGTGCGGGAAGGAATTCAGTCGGTCATTTTCGTTGCTCAGACACCAGCGTGTTCACACTGGGGAAAGGCCATTCATCTGCTCTGAATGTGGGAAGGCATTCACTCAGTCACACACCTTGTTGGCACACCAGAGAGTTCATACAGGAGAGAGACCATTCATGTGCCCTGAGTGTGGTAAGCAATTTGCTCACTTGTGCAACCTGCTGACACACCAGCGAGTCCACACTGGGGAGAGACCATTCAGCTGTTCCCAATGTGGGAAGGCATTCATGAATGTGACCAATCTGCTACGACACCAGCGGGTTCACACTGGGGAGAAACTATTCACCTGCCTGCAGTGTGGGAGGGGATTCACTCAGTCACCACACCTGGAAAGACACCAACAAGTTCACACTGGGGACAAGCCATTCGCCTGCTCCCAGTGCAGTAAGGGATTCACTCAAAAAAATGACCTTCTGAGGCACCAACAAGTCCACAATGGGGAGAGACCATTCACGTGCTCAGAATGTGGGAAGGGATTCATTCGGTTATTCAGATTGCGGAAACACCAGCGAGTTCACACTGGCAAGAGTCCCCACACCAGCACTGACTCTGGGAAGGAAGGTATCTCAGTATCTAATCCTCAGGGAGACCAGGTTGACACTGAGGAGAGATCCCTAACCTGCATGGATGCTGGGGAGGGAACTGCCAAGTTATCCAGCCTGCAGAAAGACCAGCAAGATTACACTGTGGAGAGACCCCTAACCTGCACTGATGCTCGGCAGGGATTGACTGAGTTTTCCAACCTACAGAGGGATCAGCAAAGTGACACTGCAGACAAACCCTTCACTTGTGCTCTATCTTGGCAGCAATCTAATGAAATATCCAAAGAGCAGAGAGATGAAGTCCACGCAGAGGAGAATCCTCTTCCACACACTGACTCTGGTGAGAGATCTCTTGCAATATCTGATCTTCAGAGAGACCAAGTGCACACTGAATCAAGTCCCCTCAATTGCAGTTTGTCTGGTGAGGGGTCTATTACAATGTCTGGCCTGCAGAGAGACCAGCAAAATCACACTGCGGAAAGTCCCCTCACTGGTGCTGTGTCTAGGGAGGGAACTACCGATTTATCAAACCTTCAGAGAGACCAGCAAGATCACACCAGGAATTGGTCTTACGCCTGCTCCAAGTGCGGGAGGGGATTCAGTCGGTCATCTTCATTGCTCAGGCACAAGCAAGACACCTGCTCTGATTCTGTAGAGGGATCTATTCCAATATGCAGCCTGGAAAGAGACCAGCAAATTCTGACCGGAGAGAATCCCCTCACCTGTACTAGATCTGGGGAGGGATCTACTCGGTATCCCAGCCTGCAGATGGACCATGTTCAGACCAGGGAACATGAGCTCACCTGCACTGGATCTGGGGAAGAATCTATTCAAAACTCCTGCCAGCAGAGAGATCAGGTTCATACCGGGACAAATCCAATCATCTCCACTGATTCTGGGGAGGGATCTATTCCAACATCCAGCTTGCAGAGAGACCAGCAGGATCAGACTGTGGAGGATCCACTCAACTGCACTGTGTCTGGGCAGGGATCTGCTGTGTTATCGAGCCTGCAGAGAGACCAGCAAGATCATCCTGAGAAGGAGCCATACACCTGCTCCAAGTGTGGGAAGGGATTCAGTCGGTCATCTTCGTTGCTCAGACACCAGCGGGTTCACACTGGGGAGAGGCCATTCATCTGCTCTGAATGCGGTAAAGCATTCACTCAGTCATACACCCTGTTGGCACACCAGAGAGTTCATACAGGAGAGAGACCATTCACCTGCCCTGAGTGTGGGAAGGGATTTGCTCAGCTGTGCAACCTGCTGACACACCAGAGAGTACACACTGGGGAGAGACCATTCAGTTGCTCCCAGTGTGGGAAGGCATTCATGAATGTGACCAATGTGTTGCGACACCAGAGAGTTCACACGGGGGAGAGGCTGTTCATCTGTTCCGACTGTGGGAAGATGTTCACGCAGTTATCCCACCTCCTGAGACACCAGCAGCTTCACACTGGGGAGAACCTGTTCACCTGCCTGGAGTGCGGGAAGGGATTCACTCAGTCATCACACCTCGAGAGACACCAGCGAATTCACACTGGGGAGAGGCCATTCACCTGCTCC